GAGATCACAATGGATTCCCAATGATCAGACCTTACTGTCGGTCACACGACTCGTGTGACCTCACACGACTCGTGTGGCAATGTCACACGACTCGTGTGACTCCACACGACTCGTGTGTCTTGTCACACGACTCGTGTGAAAAAGCCGAAGCTAACTTTCCTCTCCTCATCCTCCCACACGACTCGTGTGCCTTGTCTCACGACTCGTGTGGCTCATTCCACACGACTCGTGTGGCTTGTTCCTTGAAAAACTCTTAATTTTGAACTTATAACTGAATACTGGGTCTCGAAATTAATCAAATCTTGGAACAACTACTGATACTTTATTAATAACTGAGAGGGATATTACATCGGTTGTGGCGGAGGGGGCGGGGGCTTGAAGTTTGCAAGTGACGGGCTGGGTTGTTTGCTGAGGGACGGCGTGCTGGTAGCTGGTTTGGGCGTGACTGGTGGGTCGGGCAGGTCCAAAAAAATGAAGGCCCAAAAAGGGGCTCAATTGGGTGGGCTGATTGAATGAGGGCTCAGGTAGGCTTAGAGGTTGTGAGATGAAATGGTGTTGGGTGGGTTGAGGAGTGATATTAGAAAGGTGGGCCGTAATCGACGGGCCCGGGATAGAAAATAGGGGTCTGGGCCGAGGGGTATAGGTCTGGGATGGATTTAGAGGGGTTGAGTTGGGCCAAGAGAGATGGGCTGGCTGCACAAGTGAACTGGGCCCAGTTAAAGGAAAGCTTTGGCCCAACTTGTTTTCTCTTAGCTTGTGATTGGGTACGATTCCAAACCCTAAATGCTGAGAGGTGGAATAATTGCGCTGACCGGTCAACAAAGAGGAGGTGGCGGCGGGACTCATCTTCTCCAGCGAGACAGATTCCGGCGGCGAAGCATGTGACCCTAAAGCGAGCGGCGATCCAGTATGGCCTATTTTTTAGCCTCGGTTTTTTTGTCGCGGCCCAAAAGAGACCGCCGGCCGATCTGTGCTACCTCCGACGATGTGAGCCGAGATCCCCTGTGACGTAATTATCGTTGGAACGCCCCTGTCTTTTTTCACCGAGAGAGTCACTGTGGGGCAGCCGATCGGTTCGGGGGTCTCAACTTGATTTTCCTCAGCATGCCTTCAATGATTTCGCCTTCTTCTTTGTTTTCATTTTCTACTTTTTCTGATTTTTTGGTCTCGTTTTTTTTCTAGAAAGGCTGAGAAAGCCTCTCGAAATGCCGGTTGTGACATGAATAGCTCCAACTCCGAAACTTGGACGAAAGATGGATATTGTTTGTTGGTCGTAAAAACGGTCGGAGGGGCCATGTTTTGGTCGAAAGGTAACTAAAATAATGAAAAACGAAAAGAAAAGGCCAAAGAAAAGTAAACCCCAGAGGCCGGGGAGGCCGCCGGCGGTGGCGGCCGGTGGGGACGGCTAGTCGGGGGTGGTGGCCGAGGAGGAGGAGAAGTGGTGGTTGAGGGTGAAAGTGAAAAATGGAAATCTTAGAGAGAGAAAGCTAGAGAGAGAGGTGAGAGCATTTTGTCTGTAGTTGCTAGGTTAGTAGTTGTTAGGTTAGCAGTTGCTAGGTTAGTTCTCTGTAGTTGCTAGGTTAGTTCTCTGTAGTTTCTAAGTTAGTTCTTTGTAGTTGCTAGGTTAGTTCTCTGTAGTTGCTAGGTTACTAGTTGCTAGGTTAGTTCTCTATAGTTGCTAGGTTACTAGTTGCTAGGTTAGTTCTCTATAGTTGCTAGGTTAGTTCTCTGTAGTTGCTAAGTTAGTTCTCCGTAGTTACTAATTAAGTTAGTAGTAGCTAGGTTAGTTCTCTGTAGTTGCTAGGTTAGTAGTAGCTAGGTTAGTTCTCTATAGTTGTTAGGTTAGTTGTCTATAGTTGCTATGAGCTGTCCGTATTTTAAGAGCTGAGCGCATTTTAAAAGGTGACCGCATTTGATCCGCCCCTATATATATATATATAATTCGTTTACGCATTATATATATATATATATATATATATATATATATATTTCGTTTACGCATTAATAAATGATTTAATAACGAGGAGGAGTATGTAATTATGTTTCCTAAAAGGATGAGTATAATTAACCTATCAAAAAATTATAAATATCCTCAATTCTAATAACATAGGCAAAAGAAAAACTTTGTCATATACACAACCCCACTCATCCTTCACACCAAACAACTAAATATAATTACATAAATATATTTTTAGTTATAATTAATATTAATAAAATTCTATGTTCACATAAAGAATTGTTTTATTATTTTAAAGTTAACAATGTTGGTGATTTTTTATAATTTAAAAGACTCAGTTTATGTGAATCAGTACGATCAAATCCTCTCTCCCCTTCACCGACAAAAAACCCCCAAATCTCACAGAAAACCTAAGTCGCTAATCCGCGTGCCTTCTCTCAGCAGGGCCTTCGGGCCACCACGACGGCGGCGTCCTCCGAGCCGTGCGGTCGAATCCCAGTGACGTCGGTCGTGGCTGTGGCCTTTTCATCGGGTGCGATGGCGGGTCTTCTCCTTAGGTTTCGCCGTCTTACAGGTTGCTAAGGTGGGTCGGGATCCTGCGTTTTTTCTCGGAGTCTGGGTGGTGGCGGGCTGCCGGCGTGGCTGTGAGTGACGACTGTGACGCCTATTATCCCCTTGAAGGTTGGCGGGGTGGTAGTCGGGGCTGAGATCAGGGCTGTTGCACTCTTCTCCCTTCTCCCGTTTGCTCTGCTTTTGGGGCCTTTGGGTTGTGTTAGTGGAGTCGGCTCGGGTCGGGGTGGGTCTTGTGTCCTGGACCTGGGTTGTCGGGTATTGGGAGGTGGAGTATGTTGTGGATCTCCGGTTGTGGGTCTTGGGGTTGTCTACCCGGGCGAGGGTTTGGGTTCTTTAGTCTCAGATTTGGTGAGGCGATTTATCTGCAGTTTCTGGATTTACGGCTTGGACCGGGTCTTGTCAGGGTGGGTAGTCGGCCTTGGGTGTCGATGTCGTTGGTGTTCGGCTTGGCTTCACTGTGCTGTGGGAAGGGCTTATTGTTAGTCGTTTTGCGTTCTTTTTGTTTATGTTTGTGTTTTGTTGCTAGTGTTGTTTTGTTTTGAGGTTTTTGTTGTGTGGTGTCAGTATTGTTTGTGCGTGTCAGTGTTTTTTTCTCCTATTTAGGAGTGTGAATTCTCCCGCCGGGGAGTGTATATTCCTCATTAGTGGGGTTTTAGTTTTTTGTGTGTTTTGTAGTGTGGTGTGATTTAGGCTACCTTCGTGAGTAGACCTCTCTTTTCCGGTTAGTGAACCGGTTGTATATTCGTGTGTATTAATAAAATCTATCGTTTGAAAAAAAAAAGAAAAAGTTTATGTGAATCACATGCACCATTTCCCTAAAAGTTGATCATCATACCATACTCCAATGAGCATTATTTATAACATATTGATGGGACCTTCAAACACCAAATGCACGTTCAAAATGGCAAAACCAGTCCTTATATTCAAACAAGCTAGCTGGCACTATTGAGTCTATTTATAGTTGCCTTAAATGTGGCACTGTTCAGGTACTGTTCACCAGTCTTATCGTACAGTACTCTCCCAGAGCAGTCCGGCGCCTCCCTGACAGAATTTAATGCGATTTGAGGTTTTCATCATCATTGCCTGGCAGGCATTTAATGCATACAGAGGGATCATTTAATGCTGGCAGGCTTTATGTCTTGGTTAGGGGAGGTAGGTCAGCAGGCTAGGATGCCCCGTCCAATCACCAATGATTACTCTCCAAGTGGCATTATTATACTATTATCGAGATCGGCATTCCTCATTGGAGGCCCGTTCTGAGACCCCAGGTCGGCACCTTTTCTTTGTTCGTTCCTCCAGTTCCGGGGAGCCTTCCTCCAGCTCGTCACTCGTCAGGCCGGCACCGGGACTTCACTGTCGCAAACGCCGGGCTAACGGACGAACTCATGGGGACGTCAAGGTCAAAAAGTTTCGGGGTCCAGCTCGACACCTACGCACTGGACCGGGTCTCCGGTTCGGCTCTCGAACTCGGGTGTCAACAATAGGCAAAAGAAAAACTTTGTCATATACACAACCCCACTCATCCTTCACACCAAACAACTAAATATAATTACATAAATATATTTTTAGTTATAATTAATATTAATAAAATTCTATGTTCACATAAAGAATTGTTTTATTATTTTAAAGTTAACAATGTTGGTGATTTTTTATAATTTAAAAGACTCAGTTTATGTGAATCACATGCACCATTTCCCTAAAAGTTGATCATCATACCATACTCCAATACATGAGCATTATTTATAACATATTGAAATGATGGGACCTTCAAACACCAAATGCACGTTCAAAATGGCAAAACCAGTCCTTATATTCAAACAAGCTAGCTGGCACTATTGAGTCTATTTCAAGGCACCAATAATTGTACGCCTCAATAATGCAGAACAATCTATCCTACCATGCGTATTGGTACATTTTTTTTTTATATCAATAAATATAAATTTATAAATCAAAATTGGTGTACATACGACCGAGAGTCGGTATACAAAAGCGCAATGGGCAGCCACAAGCTCGGCTCCTCACTCGCATATGAACGGTCTAACAGGACAACCACATATCGGTTGTTCACTCAAGTCTCTAATAAAACAAAAAGTGCCAAAACACTAATGCTACACGGCACTATGCTCGGCTCGACTCCCTCCGCGGCCAAGGCGTCTCTGGACAAGCTCTTGCCTTTACTCTCGAGCTCCCAATGCAAGAGAAGTCTATCATAACCCAAGGCATTTTCTCTCAAACTCGACAAGTACGTTCAGGTACACTGCAAAAACATGTGTTTTAATCTTAAGTATCACAAGGCCTAGCCTGTAGGTTGAGATTCATTTCTTTGGTACACATTGATTTACGTACAGATACACATACCCACTGACACACCCACGTTAGAGGTTTTTTTTTTTTGGATTTTTTTTGGTTTAGTTTGATTACGTTTAAAAAATGTAATATGATTGGTTGTTAGTAAGTATATTAAAATAATATTTAAAATAAAATAATTAAAATTAATTTGGCGTAAAAATAAATACAAATGAAAGACTAAATAGTAAATACCAATGAAAGACAGTGGCCCATGAGGCCATGATACAGGCCCAATTGACAATTATTAATGATGAAATGTGAGAAACAGAAAAACTCATTATTAAAGGTGGGACTTGGAAGAGGACAAAGAGAAACACGTGATTGTAGTGTGTTAGTGAAATACACAGGAAAAAGCACTCCGCTGTTTATGTTTTAGAATGTACGTACAGCCATTATTTAGCCCACGTTCTCATCAGCAAGTAATGTCAAAGCCATTATTGGCCCACGTTCTGTGCCTCTAAAAGCACAGTTGAACAAGAGGCAATAATTAATTAGCAACAATGGCTGCACCCGACCAATCTTTCCCCAACTACCTAACCACAGTCAACGCGTCCAACTTCGTCTCCGTGAAGCTCTCCGGCAACAAGCGGTCGAACAATTACCCGTCATGGAAACGGCAAATACTCTGCCTGATTGAGGCCACTGACTTGGTCCGCTTCATCAACGGCACTATCCCAAATCCAGCAGCTGATAGCGTGACGTGGAGAACAGACAGAGTGGTTTTGGGCTGGATTCTCGGGTCATTGTCCGATTCTGTTCTTAGGATGGTGGCACATTTGGACAGTGACACGGCCAGAGATGTGTGGGTGGAGCTAGACAAGAAATTCGGTGAGGCTAATAATACTGCTCCTCCGCGGCCACAAGTACCACAAGGTACGTGCAGTTAGTACGTACATCTATATATATTATTATAATTAATTAATCAATGGGGCGTTAAAATTAACAGAAAAATTTAATTTATTTGGTTGTCAAATTAATTAAGCTGTGGAGACAGAGTATGAGGAGCAGTTGCCTCTATTGCTGAGACTGATACGCCGGGAGAAGTGGGAAGCAGCCAAAGAATACATAAACAACCATCCGGGTGCCATCAGAGACCAAAAAACTGAGAACCTGGACACGTGTCTCCACTTATTAGCGGTGTCGGCGAACAAACCTTATGCGCTCGATTTCTTCCGATTCCTAAGTGACAAAATGACCGAGCACGCATGGCAAGCCCAGAACATCCTCGGTGACACTGCCCTCCATACGGCAGTCCGGACTGGAAATGATCTAGCCACCAAATTCCTCTTGGATGAGTGCTGCGATCTGATGCACGTGCGCAACAACGATGATGAGTTGCCAATCCACCTGGCGACCCAATGTACCAAGGAAGGGTCTATTTGGTTGTTGTTGAGGAAAATGGGCAACGTTGTTGATAATAAAACGGGTTTCCAGCTTCTGTGTCTGGCGATCGAAGCCGAGCATTTTGGTGGGTCGTTTATTAATTTCATGTGTATGCCATTTTCATTTCTCCTTTTATTACTAACTAACTAGTATGTGATTTTAAATTATATTTTATCTTTTATATTTTTATGATCTATTCTATTTTTTGCGTTACTATTTTAAATCAACCAAACACAAGAAGTACATTACATAATGGACAGTATCAAATATATTGAAACTTGAAATACAATTTTGAAAATAATAATATTTAAAAGTAATGGTTAAAAACATTGCATGAAAATTTTGGTTGAGAAACCTCCATTAGCTAAGTTAGTCTTGTTTATTCGAAATCTTTTTTGTTTGGGGAAGATTGACAAATATGAACAGTAAAACTAAATTAAAATATTTTACAAGAATAATTGCATGTGTTAGTTTACAATTTTGTCTTTTTATCTTGAAAGGGATCATTGTTTGTCATTCTTTTTATTGACTAAATACAACAGTTATATTTCAATTGACATATGTTAGCAAAGTTTTTAAATATTATTCATATTATCTTCCCTTTTTACCCGTAAATTAGTTTTCGTATTCTTTTTCTTTTTATTTGATCTGATTAATTATAATTATTTTCATGAGTTATAAATATATATTAAAATTCAAGTTTTGGTCGAATTTTTAATTTTTTTAAATTCAAATACAATTATATTTTTCATGAATCATTACAAACATATGGTACACAATTTGATTTATATTTCAATAATCTCAAAAGATAATTAAAAAACATTAAAAACAATTATTTGGTAAGTTATATTTTATTTTTTGCTCAAGCAATAAATTGATTTAAATTAAATATTTATATTATGTAGAATTAGCGATAGTTTTGGCTTTGACGTCACATTTAATGCTAAAATAATTCTAATTGAATAACTTGTGTAAATATCAACCAGTTAATGTGTAGTAAACCACATAAAATATATAATCATAAGTTCATAACTACAAAACCTTAAAATTTCCTCAAATACGTGATGTAGATGAACCATAATATTATAAACTTTGTTGAATTAAATATATATATACACATATAAACTTGGACAAATTTTCGTCTAACGTACTAAATATAATTTTTTATTTATTCAGTCTGTATTTATATATCATATGATATCTTAGGTTAGATGTATTGTCATTTACTTGATAATTTATCATAAAATTTATTGATTAAATACTTATTAAGTTGAAATATTAGTTCACATAAATTTGTGTATGCGACGGAATAGCCATTGGGCAGATTGATCCTTCGTACTTTTTCTTAATAAAATTATATACGTATGCAATAAATCATTAATTTTTTATTTGTTGGCTTTTAAAGTATGATAATTCAATTTGACCATAGTATATCTTTTGGAAATGTATGAATGTTTAATCATTAGATCTTTCTACCAATTAACGTTAATATTATACTATATTTTAAAATAAATATGAAAAAATGTTAAAAATAGAAAAACATGTAGTAATCTTGTTAACTCATTTTTATATTATTACACGACCTTTATTAGTTTCACATACAAACCACATATTTTGGTTAAAATTTATTTTATAATTAATTATTTTATTGTATATAAGTTATCTATTATTCAATATTACTTTTTTCAAAGTAATTTAATTATAAAATAAATAAAATAATTTAATTATAAAATAACATTATAACTATTGAATTAATTATTTTTAATAAATAAATAAATAGAAATTTTTACATTAGTAATATTTTTTTATTGATAAGTTAATATTTTGTTTGCCTATTTAAACATAGTTTGTTACTTTTTATTGATACTTAATTGTGATTATAAATGAGATACTTAATGATTATTAAAATTTTGCCATTAAAAATAACAGGAACACAAGGACTTTTTCCTCCATGCATTCGTACTTAAAACTCTGTTCCATTCTAATATTTAATTGTACTAATAATATTATTATTAAAACACACCAAACACAAATGATATCTTAAGCACGCCATTCGAAAAAAAAAAATTCATAACAACTACACGGTTAAAAGTTTTTCCTTAAATAAAGAAAAACAATAGAACTACAATTTTTTTAGACGTACTTATTTAAAAAAAAAAATCTAATATACATTAATGAAACTTAAAATGAATGATTTTTTGGACTATTATGTGATGGCTATTATTTTTCAAGAATACTAATCAATACATATTGTAACTCATATTATTAATATTAAGTTTTTTTGGTGACCTTAAATAGTTTAAGAATTTCAAAATGTTTTAGAAATAACTTTTACTTTTAATTAAGATACACTATAAGTAAAATAGAATAATTATAAACGATATCAAGAAACAATTCTAGATAAATGAAAGTTCATACCCCCACGAGGTCCATGTATGATTCCTTAGTTTATTTGACATCAAACTAACAAATACATTTGCACAATCATTAAATGATGTCACGGAAATTTTGTGTGAATATTCGCTCTTTTATGTATATTAGTTGTAGACTCAACATATAAAATAAATAAAATAATTAACAAAAAATTATACAATGTTTGAGTTTGAAAAAATTATGTAATTGTATATAATGATTTCAGTTGTCAATATATGATAGTACAAGTATTAATTGAAGTGTATTTTAAATAAATTATTGATATCGTATATTCTTACAAATTTAAAAATGATAATATAATTAATAATATAAAATGTAATCTATTTATTTATTATTTACTTTATATAAAAAATATTCTATATTTTTATATTAACTCCATAAAAGTACATCAATATATTTTATATAATTCATCATGATAGAAACAAATATCAAATGTGATATTTTGTAGTTAATGAAAAAGATCCTTATTCAATGTTAACATATTTTATAATTTATTTGACAATTGCGTTCAATTACTTTTAGTATTATGTAAATAAGTTCACGTGCAAAATATATTTTTAGTTTTCTTTCATGTTATATAACGTATTTTTCTTTATTCCTTCTTTTTTTTTTTCTCATATGTCCTACTTGATACTCTATTTTTTCAATAAATGCATTTGAGTAGTTTTATATGTCATGTTATTTGTTTCATGTAATTTTACATATTATGTTATACCAACTTTGTTTATTATAACATGTAGTTATGCGATTAGTAATATGAAAATAATATAAACTTAAAAATATAATAAATTTATATTATAATAGTTTATAGTTAATATTGTATGTGAATTGAGGATAATACTTCACTACTTTTTATTTGTTCTACATACAATTTAGGAATATATATTAATGCATTTCAAATTTTTTGAAATAGTTTGCATCTCCATTATTAATTTTTCTTTTTTTGATAAGTTACTTTTATCTCTTTTTAATTAGAGTTATGCAATATGTTTATAATAATAATAATACTAATAATAGTAATAATAATAATAATAATAATAATAATAATAATAATAATAATAATAATAATAATAGTTGGCATGGTGTTAGTCCAAGTATACATAAATTATCAATTGAAATGTAAATTAAATAGAATAAATTTCTTTTTTTTTTATTATTATTATTATCTTACAAGCCTAGATAGATATTGTTTTTTTTGGTTGCTTTTGCTTTTGAGCATGTTTAAAAGAAACTATCTTGGCATGATTATATTACAAAAATATAAGTTTAACTATTAAGAAATCAAATTAATCATGATCAAGTCCTAATGAGCATAAAAATCATACACCACACGGCCAAAACCAGGTTTTTATTATTTTATTATATAATTAGAGTCTTTTGTGTTTTAACTATAAGTTTAGATTAGAATCCTTTTATATTGATATATTCAGTATGATTACAAATTTGTCATTAAAAATATGTCTAAGTAAGGATTTTTTAGACAGATCATTATTTTTACAAAATCACTCGTCTTTTTAGAATAGTATAGATATAGATAGATAGATAGATAGATAGACAGACAGATAAATAGATAGATAGATTATTGATGGATGTGTCTTTGCTTTCCAGATGTGGCTCGAGGATTGATTGACGCAAATCCGGAATTGGTTTACTTGGAACTCAGAGATGGCACCTCAATTTTGCAGAAGCTAGCGCTCAAGGACACTACTGGGAGAAAGCGTTTTAGCCTTTGGGAATGCTTCCTTTGTAAGTTAGAGTTTAATTATTACAGAACATTAAAAACTTTTCAATCCCTTGA